TATATATATAATGTGCTGTAGTGAGCAATACATACTGATTGTACAGTAGCTCAATCAGTGGCAATCAGTGGCTCACAGCTGCCAAGTTCTCAATTGCAATGAAGGAGGTGTCGATGGACTCTGACTTTGAAAGACTGCAGGCCATTGTTGTTGATGTTACCCACAACGGTGTCTGGGAGTTGGTTCCAGATCTGAACACCAGTGTGGATGAAGGTCCGGCCGGTGGAGCTGGTTCTAGATACCGGTTGTGCAAGTGCGTGGGGTGGCATAGCAAGACTACTTCTGGTTGTGCGTCTGGGAGTGTACGGCTTGGGGAGCATTGTCTTCAGGCACCTAACCTTTTAACATCTAACTCTAAACATTTAACCCCACACTCAACAGAGGGGGGGGGGGCTTCGGGTAGAACTCTCAGGCACTTGAAAATTGGCTCTCCCAGCCAACAGGACAGACAACACTTAAATTCCTGTTCTGAAACAACAGGAACTCTTTGACTAATTTGAATCATCCTTGTCTTGACTTGTCTATCTTTTGCTTCATTTTGGACTTCCCAAAAAATTATCTTCACTTATTTGCATATCAATCAATAGTTCGTACCTGTGAACCTGCATTTCTCCTGCAGTCTCTTTCTTAGTGTCACTGACGAAAGGTATTGGATACCACCTGAAACGTCTGACCATTTCCAAAATCATATCCAGTTGCTTGAGTAACTGTTTTGGGCATATCTTATTACTAGTACCTGGATGTCTAACCTTAACCGACGTGAAGCTCATGTTTGAGCTTTTAAGTGTAAAAGCTCATAAGGATGCCCCCACTGTACTCGGTGACAGCGAGTTCCACTTTGCGATAGTTCTAGGAAAGAATGGGTCTCTGTAGGATTTTAAAATCCAAGTTTTGTCCCGAATAACGTTAATTGTTGCATGACAGATGCATCATGTCCTAACTTTCGTTTTGCTGGATTCTGTTTCAGTGTATGGAGTACCAGCCCAGCACAATACCAGGGCAATGCTGCGGTATGTGCGTTCGTGTCCCTTGCTGTGTAGTAAATCCCGATGGCTCGGAAACCTTCCATCAAGTAAGTTACTTTCCTACTTTATTATTCATGTAGTAAGAGGTGGTAATTAGTGGTGTAGTTAATGTAGTAGTTAATGCTGATGGCTCGGAAACCTTCCATCAAGTAAGTTACTTTCCTACTTTATTATTCATGTAGTAAGAGGACACTGACAGTGAACCCCCTTTCGATATTAATGATGATAGAATCACTGACCAGTCACCGAGCAAGTGGAACCGAGCTATGATTGTAATCTAGTTGTGTGTTTTAAAACACTTCGACTCCTGTCTGACCTTATCTATAAATGTGTTTGAGTAAGAATTAACAGAGCAGACCATATGCGAAGGTAAACAAACTAAACATCATTTTTTAACGGTGTCGCTCAATGCAAGGCCAATTATTTTTGGCCACTTCTAGGCATAGAGCTAGAGGTACTTAAATCAGTATAATGTAGTTATGTCAGGAGATGGCGGTGGACCTTTGTATTGAAGCTTTGTGGATTGTAATCGGACGGAAAGCAGCTGTTTGGAAGAGAGTTCCATAATTTTGCAGTCCGGGAAAGAAGCCGTTGTTGTAAAATGACTTGGGGACAGGTATGTTAACGGTTTATTGATGGATGATGTTGCTTTGCAAATGTTACCTTTCTAGTTTTAACTACTGGTATTCAAACTTCCTCCTTCCATCTTTCAGGTAAATGAGACGTACGGGCTGCCCGACGACAATTGCACCGTCTGTCAGTGCTATGAAATGCCGGCACCGCCCTTCGGTATGCCTATGGTGATGGACCGCTGTGAACCACACATCTGTATTCCTCAAGATGAGATTCCATATTTCTGCTACCACGAGCCATACAGCATTGAAACCTACTATGAAGGTGGACCTGAGGGATTGTGCTGTGAAAGGCAGAGATGTGAGTGTGATAGGGAGGGCTTGGGCGTTCTTATGGAGCCAGTATGATATGTTCTTGCTGTTATGTCGTAATGAACCGGTCGCACACTTGACTTTTGAGGAGCTTCATTCTTCCTTTTTCATTCTTTCTATTGGTTTTATTATTTATTTATGTGATGATATAGATAATGCAATACAGAGGAATTAAAAAAATGTAGAGCTCGTGTGGATTAAATATTCTCCGACATGCAGGCACAATACGAGCATCACCAGCAGAGGAAGTGTGCCAACCGCACAACTTTACCGATAAACTCCACTACGACGAGGAAGGATACGACTGTGAGAGTGAAGAAGAAGTCCTGCATACCTACTGTGAGGGCCAGTGTACCTCCCAAGCCACCGTGCACAGTAAGTTTTCTTTTTTTGGCAACGCCTACGGGGCGGGTCCTTTCTTTTACATCTGTGCGCAATGGGGTGTAAGGGCCAATTCGTGTTTTCATTCACAAATACAAATGCACGTTTTTGTATGATTAGTTCATTGCTAATCTCCATGCAGATCATACGGTGGCTAATGGACACTCCTCTAGCCAATGGATACTGTATCACCGTATGATGTGCTTAGAGATTAGTTCATGGCAAGTTGTCGTACAAAATGTCTTCAAGTCTACTTCCTTGACAATACTATAATCAACTAATTAGATAGGTTTCATCGAAAGTGGCGTTCGTTTCATTTTATTTCATTTTACATTTTTATTTGATTACCCAGGGTAAAATATGTCGCCGCAAGGGCGTTTTTCAGTGTTCCCTGCGGACATACATTTACAAAAATTCTTAATAAGTATTACTAACAAACAAGAAAACAAAGATACAAATCGTGAGATGTTTTGCAATGTACTTCGTTCTGCTGTGCTGTATCTCTAACTATTACCTCTTTCTTAGAATGCTTTGTTATTAGAGAAAATTCCGAAACTTGTGATTAGCCCACTCGATTGTAACACTTTATCAAAGACTTGTGCTATCCCTTATTATTTGAATAATTATGATATAGATTTGTTAGGTTTTATTCAACATTAGGTCTTGTTCAACACATTTTATTGTTTGTTACTCTCTTTATGTAGTTTGCCATACATTGTACCATGTGCAATTGTCGTGCAATAAAGTTCTTCTTCTTCTAAATCTTCATCATTATGTTTACCGAAGGAAAACATATTGTTTTTGCTCCATTTATTCTTCCTCTTCTTCTTCTTCTTCTGTTCCAAACACTAACCTCTGACCTGGCCAATGGCCTCTTTTGTTGACATCTGTCACCATAGTAACTGGTGTTGGGTTACATCATTTTGCAATTTCAGAGAAGGCATTTAGGCTCCTGTCACCATAGATATACATGTATGATGTGAATGTGTTTGAGTAAGAATTAACAGAGCAGACCATATCCGAAGGTAAACATTTTCATTTGCTTTGCAAATGTTACTTTTCTAGTTCTACCTCTTTCTGGTTACAGCCACTGAGCCATTCTGCCCAGAGGGCTGGCACTCAGAAGACGGTATCAGCTGCTACAAGATCATACACGAGGAACGTGATTATCTAGGAGCGAAGGACAAGTGCGACGAGTTAGGCGGACGGCTTGCAAGCTTTTCAAATGACGAAAAGGAGGTAAGGGACAGACGAGGACAAACTGTGTGGTTGGCATGTGCACCATATAAACAGATAAACAAACATAGCAGAAATATACTGCAGTATTGCCCTGATGAAGATGACAGAAGGTCATCGAAACGTTGGCTTGAAAAATAAATGGTTGTGAAAGAAATAACTTTGCTATTCAGTCGTTTACCAACCTGATGAAATTATTTACGGAAGCAGAAATATAGTTTTCTTTTTCTTAGTTCAATTTATGCAACTGTTTCAAATTAATCTGATGAAAACATTTAGTGTCTGGAAAACATGTAGTCCACAACAATGCTACATGTTGGCTCTTAGATTTGAGAATCCTGCGAAAAAAAAGCAGCCTTAATTCCCAGCTCACAGGTTTCGTATATATATATATTGGCCTCTTGCTTAATGTTCAAAAAGTATGATTTTTAGACACCTTTATTCACATAAATACAACAAAACAGATACATACAGAGTGACATGTACTGTATGACGACTATTTCAATAATATGTTAATTTACAAAATAAAAAAGAACTACACAGTGTAATTAAAATCTTAACTCAAACCTGGCCTTGTACTGTTCAAAACTTGATAGATGGAGTATTTTGTTTATTTTTCATTTTGTTCAAATAAAACTAAAAAAGAACATGATGCAAATCAGTTCATGTGGTCTTATGTGGTACAATTATGTCACATACATATTGTGAGTCGACCGACCATCTTCAAGAAGACCACCTGTCCAAGGCGACCGATCAAACTGTACTTCCGCTTTGAACACTAGTACTCTGTACTAACAAATATATTCTCTTTCGTGTACAGGCATATCTGCGGGAACTCTTGGCAAATTATACAGGCACTATGGATCTGTGGGTGGGTCTGGTGTTGGACCATTCAACATACTACTGGACGTGGACTGACGGAATGGAAACTGACCTTGACACGTAAGTAATTATTGTATATTTTTATATAGGGTTTTAAACAAAGAATTTTCCGTGTGAGGGGTCATATACGTGGACCAGACCGAGAATATAGCTTAAACACGCCAAAGGTCAACGGTCGCGACCACTTTCACGCTCAAAGGGGTGTTTTGGGGCCACCAAAAGGCACCATTTTCACGCCCGAAAACACATATACAATAAAAACAAAAGAACGTGCATCATCTGCAGCCCAATAGCAAAACATATACCGAATCTCAAAAGAATCCGTCCACCCAAACGCGAGAAACAGCTGCGAACATGACAATCTAAATCTCACAAAACCCTTCCGCGGAAGGATGTCTCCTCCCCCGGAGGTAATGAATAAGTAAACTCAATCAGCTGTTTTCCTCTCCAACAGGGATTGGTCGACAAACCCGCCCATGGGAGACTGCGGTGCGACCACGCCTTCTGGATACTTCGACAAAAAGTTTTGCGACGGGGCCATGCCATTTATCTGCGAACGTGCGCCAAGTAGGTTTCATTTCTACTTACCTCAACTGGGATGTGTAAGAACTAAATTTTGTTTTTTGTTCTTGCATTATGAAAATGTAGTCAACATATTTAGTAGATGCCATACTTTGTACCCTGTACAACCAAGGAGCTTTCATGACAGCTCCTTGCTACTACAAATAAATCATTCATTCATTCATTCATTCATTCATTCATTCATTCACCGTGCTGCAGGTACTATCGTGCGGGACCTGTGTCGCTGCTGTACTGTCAGTCAGTATGAAGAGCAGCACGTGGCGATGACCTGTGCGACCGGGCACAGCTTCTACTTCACCCACCGCATCATCACCGACTGCATCTGCGAGGAGCATTTCTGTGAGGATGAGGACTATCACGTCATAGAAGGTTAAAAGGTATACCTTTAACGGACTGATATAACGAGATACGGCCATGGACTGATATTACAAAAATTACGACAAAAATTATATAATGAGATACGACCATGGAATATAACCCAACGGACTGATATAACGAGATACGACCACGGACTGATATTAAAACGAGATACGACCATGGAATAACCCTTCGGACTGATATAACGAGATACGGCCATGGAATATAACCCAACGGACTGATATAACGATATACGGCCATGGAATATAACCCAACGGACTAATATAACGAGATACGGCCATGGACTGATATTAAAACGAGATACGAACATGAGATAACCCTTCGGACTGATATGAGATACGACCATGGACTGATATTACAAAAATTACGACCATGGAATAACCCAACGGACTGATATAATGAGATACGACCATGGACTATAACCCAACGGACTGATATAACGATATACGGCCATGGACTGATATTAAAACGAGATACGACCATGGAATAACCCAACGGACTGATATTTCGGGATACGACCAACGCGGAACCCCCAACGGACGACCAACGATTATCGGAAAACATGCTGAATGACAGGACTGTTGGATTAGATCTACAAAACTGAATCTCAAGTGTTTCTATTAAACTCATTATCTTGGCATTTTCTGTCTTTAGATATATATACATTGCTGTTTTTCTTCTTCAGTAATGCATAACTCTGACACTCTCTTATGTTTGGTTCCAATTATGGCTAGAACCTCAATGTCTGGTCGACTCATATCACATTTGTTCCAAAAGATATCACTTGAGATACCGAATGGCTCGGTCGAAAGACTTCATGTCGTCAGCATGTTGCATTTCATTGTTTTTTGTAGTTGCCTAGATTGAGATGCCTTTAGTCGTAGGAGTGTGACATGAGATTGAAGAAATAAACACATTGGTCGGAAGGTTGCAGAAGAATACCACCATATGCATAGAAAATGATAACATCAAGTCTTATGCAAAGCAACTGAGGAGTGTTTGTACTGAACTTGGAAAAATCTTGATGGATGTAATTAAGCGATTGAGCATGGACACCACTCAAAGATACGATAGTTAGCTGCAAACATTTGCTTTATTCTCCATACTTAGAAAATGTACGTACACCAAAAAAAAATCTGGAATAAAACTATGTGAAATAATTGAAGATTGTTAAGTAGACACTACAAGTAGAGAACGCACATTGTGAGGACATGACAAAATGTTATAGGTGAAATACAAGTATGAGGTTATAAAAGAGGTGGATGGAATTGAGTATGGGGTTTTTGCCACAGTAACACCATGTGATTAGCTGATGGTCAAAGAGAAGGCAGATAAGTTGGCGTCTCGGGCAGGATCGTCAACAAGGAAAGTTTGTGGGAAAACATCTGGAAAGTTTGACATTTGGACAAAAGGATGTGTAAAAAGATCACGATAGAAGGTTCACTGACTGGTCCATACCATTGTTTTAAACTGAAGTATTATCAGAAATGATGTTACCATCTAGACTGGTAAATGAGTATAGGTTGGTTGCCATGTCCCACATTGCGATTTCAATTTCAATGAAAGTTCATCGAATTTTAATCTAAATTATTACATTTTTTCTTTGATTTCGGTGCAGGAAAGTTATTCAAGGTAGCGAAGATTACATCAGGTATGTAAAACGTAATGCTCAGGATTTGCATGCCACATTTCAACCTTCTAGATATTCTATTATCATGATACTATAACATAATGTGATGACACTAACTTTCATCCTGGTCAGTACCATACTATCTTAGCCAATATTGATAGAATCCATTCTTTACTAGACATTTCTTCTACACTATACAAATCCTGAACATGTTATGAGAGGCACCGTATTTCTTGTAGGCATGAGAATAAAAGCGCAAGCAGAAAAAGTAAGTCTACTGTCTCTTTAGTTCTGTCGGCTGTTTCTGTTTTATATGTAATTGTGATGTGATGACGGTACTACTGATGGTACTACTGAATTCGACACAACACACACTCCACAACTTTCCCAACATCTACGTAATACTATATACAAGTTATAATCAAGATCCATCGATAGCTTCTCAAGTTTTGCTGTTCGATCACACTCAAAATCAGTTCTGAAAACACAGCCTTGTTGGTGAAGATAACGTAACAGTTGCATTTTCTATTATAAAAACGTCGGTGTCATAAAATATGTACACAGGCTGAAGCACGTTTGGTCACCATGTGCATGTAGTAGACCTGTTAGCTCCAAACCTTCGCTTGTGACGCTTGGGTCGTCTGGTTCACACTAGAATAGAGAAATATTTCCATGAGTAAAGAATAAAAGTATAGTCATAAACGGTACATCATAGTGGACAAAACATAATTCACGGCTCGATAAATGGAGTCGGTTATGGTTGCTTTGCGTGTTATAAAGGTTCTGAAGGCTAGATGCATCTGTATCTGTATAGCCAGTATAACCGCCCTTCGGCGTAACACACCAGCTTCTCAGGCACGCGGCGCGGCGGCAGCTGGCTACATTACACCTCAATCCTTGGTTGATAACTCTGGTACTTGAAGGCATGACTATTTCTTGTTTTTTTCTGGCTGGCATTAAACTAAATAAACTTTATTGCTCATCATTTTACGAATGTACAACAGCAGGGGGAGCAGAAGCGCATCCCCCTGAATTAGGTACAATTTGTCACATTATTTGAAAAACAGCGTTCACATTGAAAAATAATACATTTAAACTAACATATATACAAAAGACACATATAAAAATTATTTACAACATATATGCACAAAGTTGCTTGGTCAGGCTATGTAAAGTCCAGTGTAGGTACACATTAGGTACTTAGTAGATCTTCACTGATATTTTCACTGATATTTTGAAAGATGTACCTGGCTTTTTGACAAGTTGTGAGTCGTCCGTCAGCTGACCGTTTTTCTGGAGATCTGCTTCCCCAGAATGGCGGCGTCTGATGACGTAACAACAGCCGATCATCACCATGACAACCAGAACAGCCGCGAATGTGCTGACCGTTGCCAAGGCAACGATTAACGGCCTCTTGTCACAGGCTTCCAAGCGTGCGCTCTCTAGGGACAAAATGCGTGAAAAATTGTTATAAAAAGGCCAATAAATTAATTGTTAGAAACTAGCTTTGACGAGCGATCGCCATGACGTAACCGCCAGTGAGTGGTAGGCAACAAACGGGTGACGATTGGCTGAACTGCCTACCAATAATTTACATATGTTCTTTAAAAATCTGCATGTATATGATGTAAGCTAATGCAGTGATCGCTCGTCATACCTACGTATCCCAGCATGCATTGCTACTTCAATATGGCGGCTTTTCAAAACATCCATGGTGTACATCTTGTTGAGGTAAGTAACGTTTGTCTGTTTTTTTTTCTTTGTCGTGACTGTCAACTGATCTGAATATCAAACGTGGGTATGTTTCGATAGCTGTACTTTTAGTGACGTTAGTATAAAGGCTACTTGACATTCGCCTGTAGCAAACACCCAATCTACACCCCCTCCCCAACACACACACACACACACACACACACACACATTCTCTCCTACCCACACACATACACACACACACACCAACACACACCAACACAATCACACACACACACACACACAAACACACACATACACACACACATACAAACACACACACACACACCAACACAATCACACACACACACACCAACACAAACACACACACACACACACACACACACACACACACACACACACACACACACACACACACACACACACACACACACACACACATACACTCACATACACACACACACACTAAATGTTACAGAGGGTTACCTTTAGCCGGCGAAGCTGTGGGTTTGACAGATTTCTGGGAGTGAGCGTTTTTGGTAGGCTGACTTGTTGGCACAACTGGACGTGGCAAATTCGTCGTCATGGTAACAGATGAGGATAGAATCGCCGGAACTGTTGATGTAAGCGTTGTTGTTGCTTGTGTAGTAGTTGTTGCTTCTTTCGTTGTTTGCGCTGTAGTTGTTGTTGCTTCTTTCGTTGTTTGAGCTGTAGTTGTTGCTTCTTTCGTTGTTTGCGCTGTAGTTGTTTGTGTTGTTGTTGTTGCTTCCGTTGTTTGCGCTACCGTTGTAGCTGCTGCTGTAGTGGTTTTCGGTACTACAAGGAAACATTTCATAGTAAAACGTTGAACTTTATTCCAACACAAAGATTACACAGAGATTAGATTTTCAGCGACCACTGTCGCCTTCATCAGGATAATGATGAAGTTCAACGTTTTACTATGATTACTGCCAACACAGATGAACTTTCATGATACTTCAAGGAAACATTTGTTTCGTTGTTGTGCGTTGATGGAATTACGAGTAATGTGACAAGACGCTTACCATTTATCAAACAATACCAATGACAAAAATTATTAGGACATTTCACAAATTACTAGTAGTCAAATACCAAAAGTTTTTTGTACTGTTCTTTATTTCTAGTGTTATGTAGTATCACTAATACAGAGCAATAACTATACGTTTATACCCAGGTTTTCTTGCAATACTCACACACTACCACTTGGTATATACATGTCTAGTGTTTTGTTCACTTAATCAGGAGTCTAGCACCAATTAAAAGTATCAGTATTGATGTCAGTATACGTTACGGTATACAATTTTTGGAAGACATATTGTTAATACACAAGCATGCATATTAAGGTGTATACATGCATGTCAGTATTTTGTAGAGGTATATACTATACGGTCTAGTCTTTTTTGTCGTTCTATTAGTTACAACTTTTAAACAGATAACGTACGGTGGTTACAAAGGTTTTATCGTTGAGAAGGTGTAACATGCGTTGTTATGAATATTTGCGTATTCAGTTCTGACTCGAAGGGTGGTTTGTAGTCCAGTGGTTAGTCACCCTGCTTCTGTATCTGTAGCTCGAGTTTCTTTGGAGTTGCACACTTTATATAGATGAATGCTACCGCCCTTTTTCACAACAGTAGCGTACAGCCTTGGTCCACTGTTTATATCATCATCATCATTTACTGCGTTCTGCGTCTACAGTCGCGTAGAAATGTCCTGTAGCCGCATTCAGTCTTTCTTCATCTCTTTCCACCGTGCCTTCTGTTTATATGGTTGTTTACTACTGTTTATATGGTTGTCGAAAATAACTAGGTTGTTTCGTTCTTCTAAGTTAACGAAACCGATGAAACTTAATTCTAATATTTAAAGATAATCTTTTAGATCATAGAGTAGATTGTGTACTTATGATGTAAGGAAGTAAGGGAAATGAAGATGTTACAACAAATATCGAGACGTTCCTACCTAATGTTTAATACTTGCCATCTTATCGGGTTTAAAAAGCTGTTATTTTGTATGAATGTCACTAACTGGTCTATCTAGATTTTCAGGCACTTAATATGCAGGCTACTTAAACCATGCTGTATGCCATATAGTACTGATATATTATTCGCATAGCCCTTTATAATTACTCAACTCAACCCTTCATTCATTGTTGAAAACTCCTGGATAATCACTATCATTTCTTGTAATTTCGTTTTCCCTATTTCTTTCTTTCACTATCTTTCGTTGCTTTCCTTTTCCTTTCTTTCTTGCCCTCCCTCTAGCCCTTCTATTTCCCTTCTTCTTCCCCTTTCTATGTTTTCGTTTCTGCTTGACAAGGTCGCCGCCATCTTGTTTCGTTTCCGGAATGGTCAAAATGGTGACGTCATCAGCCACGACATCCGTTGCCATGGTTACCATCTTCATGTCGTCTGATTTGTGAGACGGTGGACCTAGCCCCTCCTTTCTCATCCAAACCAGGTTAGACTCTTTTCCCTTTCCCTTGTTTTTTCGTCGTCGTCGATCCTTTCGGTTTCTCTTTCCTCGATTGCGGTCGTTTCTTTCTTTCTTCTTCCCGGTTCGGTCTTTTTTCTTGTTCCTCCTTCTTCCGCCCTTCTTCCCTCTCCGATCTTTGTTTTTGCCTTTCTTGTTTTTAGACTTTCCTCTTCTTCCGGGCCGCCTTCTTCCAAAAGCGCGACCGTAAACCTTAAACTGGGGCTTGAGTTCTGTTAAACAAAGACATCAACACACCATCAGTCAAGAATGCCTTTTAAAAGTCAAAAATGTTTCTGTCGAAACAAGACTATGAGGACAATTGAGTTTGTCGTAGTATAGCATTTGCTTAAGTAGATGAGTACACGTAGTTTCGAAAATGTCAATTAAGGCTGTATCAAAAGTGCAAATCAAACTAGAAATGTAACTTTGCAAAGCAAATGCATAATGCTTACATTCGCAGTTGGTCTGCTCTGTTTATTCTTACTCAAACACATTCATATATATATGGTCAGACAGGAGTCTAAATCCCTTCTGCTATAAAATTGCAACATAATGTAACCCAACACTAGTTACGATGGTGAGAGACGGTCTGGTTTAGGTCATTGACCTTTTGTGTTTGGAGAAGAGGAAACTGAGCAAAAACAATGTTTTCCTTCGGTGAACATATCGTCTTTGTTGGAGACCATATGTATAGTAGTAGTTTCAAAAATGTTAACCAGTTACAAAGTATAATTAAGGCTGTTTCAAAACTGCAAATCAAAATATAGAAACCAACCTTCTCGTAACTCATAGAAGGCGACTCCTGGTTCAATGCGCAGCCGGAAGCCGACGGTGTAGGTGTTCCCTTTCCTCAGCACGCACTTCTGAATCACAGGCATGAACTCAAAGGACAGGCACTCGGTTTTTCCGCGGCTCCAGCACAGTACCGCACAATCTCGCACGGTGGCGATGTTTAACAGTGGCGTAACTTCCTCGTGGTTGAGCATGGAAGCAGCGACCCCTGGCGTCCAGCGAAATTGCTTCATGATATCTGGCGCATCGGTCAGGAACGGGCGAGGACAGTGGAGGGAAAACGGGGAAAAGAAGATTTCAAGAAAAGAAGAAAACCCGTCTCCATGTGGTATTATCTGTTTTGCCAGTACACCCCTTCTTCTCACATACGCCAGTCCAGGAAAAAGGAGACAGTGTTGACAGATATGGACAGAAAGGGATGGACCATTTATTCCTAGGGGTGTTGTAGATGGAATTAGATGATGGTTATATGGACGTTATTGATGAAGGATGTACTCCCCTGTTCATCATTAAGAAGATGAACTTTGACCATGTATGTTTATACATGGTCAATGTTCATCTTCTGTCGTCGGAGTTACTGCTACATGCAAATTATTTGAAGATGTCTTCAAATAATTTGCATGTACATGATGTAAATTATAACAGCGATCGAAGGCTGGAAGAATTCTGTCAAGATGGCTTGATAGAAGAAATAAAACACAGGAGAAAAATAAAAAGGGGGTAACTTAAAATTAATGAAGAATGTAAAGTCTGCTTTTATAGTTGCATTCCTGGATGCATGGCTTACAGGCATAATGGTACCGTGATATGAGTTAGTTTTGTTATCTACTGTAGAATGTTTTGAAAAAATAATGTAAGACTCATCATAGCAAATCATTCAACTCACTCAATATGGTTCCGTATGATTAAGTATAGAGTGAATGGAAGGGCAATGTATATTAGATTAACGTGGGATTAAGTATTGAATCTTGGATCTGATGTCAGCATAATAATGGCACTATTGTATACCCAATCCAACTGGTTATCTATGACGAAGTAAATCGATGACTCAGCTCTTGAATTAAAGAAACGTATACGTTATGATTACCACAAATGAACGCAGTTAAGAAATCTTAATCTTGTAACGTCCTGCCAATCAGATGGCCAATCATTTCTCGATAGGCCTCAACCTTGAACCTTTCTACTCTCCAAGCCGAGGTTTGGGCTTTTGCTTATTTTGGGCGTATTCTTAAGCTTACTTTTTAAAACAAGTACGAAAAAGAAAGCCCGATAAACAAGCCTAAATAAGCCAAAGCCCAAACCTCTGCTTGAAAAGTAGAACGTTTAGCTGATAACTTGCACTCCAAGGAAGATCCCGTATTTGCTTATAGATATAGAATAGAGCTTATAGAATAGAGCTTATAATATATAATAAGGAATAGAAATATAATAACTTTGAAGGAGTGATTGTAGCATACCTTTGGGTGGAGGTGAGGGTTTGGGCGGCTGTGATGACGGCAGACACTCCTGCTGTAGAGTCTCCTCAGTCTGAGACAACAGACTCTGTCCGAGCAGAGACGCTGGAGTCGTGCAGTTGGGGAGGGGGGCGATTTGGCCGGACGGCGTTCTAGAGTCGAGTGTAGACAATCATGTCAGAATATGAGCAGATTACTTGGATACTTTATTTAGTCCCCTACAAAATTTAGCTAACCCACATTTGCACATGAACGTCTTTTTGTAGCGTTTGCATTAGGTTTTAATCTATGAGTCTTTGCTAGAAAGCACGATCTGTATTATACAGTGCCAGTGTGTTGTACGAGTCAGTTTGCTGTAGAGAACTGGTGGTTGTTGTGTGGCAGTCTCCACCAGACTCCTTTGCAGGCTGAATAAATAGTAGAAAGAGAAGGTCCTTTTCCCTGCACCTTATCCTCTCGTCAATTAAATCCCCTTTTTAGGCCGATTTCTACTACTTATTCAGCCTGTAAATGAGTCTGGTGGGGACTAGTTGTGCGGCAAATATCCTCTAGAATTAACCAGTGGTATGTCTTATCTTTCTCGCGACTCACTTGATGTTGTCCCGGTTCTGTCTGACATAGTCCACGAGTTTCTGCAGGCGACAGTCACAGTGCCACGGGTTGTTGTCCACGCTGAAGTACGACAGCTTCTTCAGTTGAACAAGCTCCTCTGAAAAAATCAAATTTTGTTGAAAATGCTTCCATGAAGGTTAGACATCCGGGTAATGAGATACACAAGAAAGTAATTGCTCAAGCAAATAGATAGATTTTTGAAACTGCCACTGATGAAAAGTAGTGGGTGCTACTTGAAACGTCTGACAGTTTTCAAAATGTATCCAGTTGCTGTTCTCTTCTGTTCTCTTTGTTGCAAAATGGTGCAGTGTATGCCAAGCTAGCCAAAATACATTGAACAGCGTCCAATGTCAATGCATGACCTTATGTGAACTACAAAAATGTTTCGTTGCATATAACAATGTTAAGTATGTTCCTATTGGATGTGGCTGGATAATCACTTTTAAATTACCTCCATCCAAAACTGTGAGTCGATTTCCGGCGAGGTGAAGACCTAACAGGGATGCCAGGGCAGTGAAGGCACCTGGGGAAAGGAAACATATTGGTCATTTCTTTCTTTTTGAAAATTCATTTTTGCATCTGTCGGTTCAGTTGTCAGAGACGTCCAACTACTAGTAGCTGAACAGAGACGGGGGGCGCCACAGACTCTCTGCAACCTATGATCCACTGCTCACGGAGTCACGTGTTTTATCTGTGTGACGTCACGGAAGCGGTGGATTGCTCATTCCTTGACGAAGACTGGAGTTGTACAGTCGAAAATTTGGGTGAGTCCAATTTTTTGTGTTGGCAATTACAGTTCAATCTTGTTCATAACTACTAGTAGCAATGTCCAGTATACAAATGACTAGCTGTGGCAATGTAACAATACACATAACCTATAACGAAACATATCTAACAGTTATATAAACTACATGTACTATATCTACTTAACGGAGAAAGGCCGAATGTTTAAAATAAACACATAATATAAAACCATAACGCTTCAAACTAAAACTCACTCACCAAACCTTTGACATTGGGTGAACAAAAAATTGAACCCTACGCACAATTACGATGCTCATAGAGTAGGATTAAGACTTAAATCCTTGTTTGCTGTACTTTGTTGTATTGATTTTCGCTCACTCATTTCTGTTGATTCAATCACGAAGCAACTCTATGCACTTGGGAGTAACTCTACCATCCATATACAATCAATTATTCTTCTGCAGTCTGCCTAATCAAATGACACAGAGGCATAATTGTAGAGCGAATCCCCGTCGAGGGTTAGATGTACGTTTATCTGACTTCTAACGAAGTTATGTCTGGCTGTGGGATGATCACCAGGGATAATGTAAAAGTGGGGTCAAGTTAAGGTACAATGAAATGGACCAATTATGCACAGTTGAGCCCGTCTGGCGACAGGCATATTCTCAATGCAAAATTATAGTGTAGTTCCAGATCTGATATAGGCAATATATAGCTCAATGTTTCTTTCAGTGATGATGCCATTTTCGATGTAGCATTGTTACGTATCAATGTTTTCTGTGGGTTTTTGTTGTGCGGGGTGAAGTACAAACAACACTAAACGAATGATTATTATTATTATTATCATTATTATTTTCTAGAGATTTTGGATTGAATTTTCTGGAAAATTATAGGAAGCAACGTTTCGATATGCATTGAAAACCGCCCGTTAGGGAGATATGGTCTCTGGTTAAATAAATAAATAAACAAACAAAAAACGTTATCTCTTTTTTTTTGCTGAATTTTATTCGCGGGCATGGCGTTCAAAGATGTTCGAATTGGAAGTGCAATAGGAGTAAAATATCGTAATTGGTGATAATGATGATAACCTGATAGAAATATTCTAATCTGTTGTAGAAATACCCACCTTCTTCCACGGTGCCGATCTCGTTATCCTGTAGCATCAAATACCGCAACTTCTTCAGACCAATAAACGCATCTGAAAGACGATAAAGAATTGTGCAATGGTAAAATGGTTAGAGTGCTCGCCTTGCATTCGGTAGGTCGTCAGTTCGATCCCCGGGCGAGTCATATCAAACACTTGAAAAATGGTACATACTGCTTTCTCTGCTAAGCACTCAGCATTCCGGAAATAGTATGGTGGTTAAACACACCCCACTACCAGTGGACTAGTCCCCTGCTCTATTGATTGCACAACTGTGTGGCCCAAGGGCTACGAAACGGAGATGGGCGCCGCCATATGCGACCATGATACTAGTCACGGCAGGTCTTTAACTTTGACTTAACTTAACACTCCGCTAGCTAATGTTTAACGTACCATTGCCAATAGATGTCAGCTTGTTTCCATCCAGGAAAAACTCTCCCAACTTGGATAAGTCGGAGAAGATGCCTGTGGGGAAAGTGTTAAAGTTAAACGTGTTTCAAGTGGGGAAAATGCACAACAGATATCGCTTGGCCTGTTGACGGCATACTAGTATACATCAATGTTAAATAGATTTCTTCGATGTGTTGCTAAAACCTGATCAACTGGGCATTGATACTTTTACTCCCATTGTGAAAAATAATCCAATCTACTTCTACTGCTGCTGCTACTACTAACCATATACTACTAGTACGTTACATTATGGATAGAACATTGAATTCTTTTTACCGATCGTGTCAAAAGAAAAGTGAGAAATCTTATCGAAGACTTCCAGTGTATTTCTTACCACCATCAATCGAGGAAAGTCGGTTGTGTGACATCTTCAACCACTCAAGTCTTGGCAGTTTCTTGAACGTCCCTGGAAAGAAAACGTAACGTTATAGCATCTTGTCATATACAAACCCTCACAGTAGTTAACTCCTTCAAGTAGTTTTAAGCTCATCTGACTCAAAATCATGAATATTTTCTTTGTTGCTTTAAGTTGCCTATCCCCTTGCCCAAACCACGGCATTAAATCTCTCATCCTTCTGAATTAGACTCTACTCTCCGCCTTCGCAATGCCCTAAGTAGACTTTACTAGGCTTCGGAAGCGGCTGGAAAGAGTAGAAATTGGCCAAATAGACAGTAACATGCCAGGTGACTAAAGGCATGTTGTCTATCTATTTGGCCATCTTCTACTCTTTCCAGCCGCTTCGGACGCCTGTTAGAAGATATAGCTTAGGTAACTGACGTGTCCAAAAACAAATTACAAACTGATTGACTTTACCTTTGGCGAGGGAAGTGATCTTGTTTCTACTCAGGTCCAGGTGCTGCAGCTTTGGCAAATCCGAGAACACGCCTTCGAGGGAAGTGAATAAAAATAGAGCTTTTAAGTATCATTTCTGAAGGAAATATATACTTCAGACATTACATGCGTATCTGCCATTACCAGAATTCCCCAAAATGGATTAAAAAAGCAAATCTAACTACATATTGATATATATCAATAACCATTTGCATTAACTTCATCTGAGTTGGTAACAAACCGTATGAGAAAGCCTGTATTGTAAACATAGGGCATGATGTAGAAAGGATGTTAATATCCACGGTTTAGCATGAAAACATATTGTTACTTCACCTGCTGGTATGGATCTCAGCTTGTTTCCGTTTAGACTCAACCACTCCAACTTCACCATCCCGGCAAACGAGCCTAGAAAGATATTAGGGTTAAAACAGAAAACATTAAGAATTAGAATAGAATAATCGCAGACTTCACATTTAGTTTCATACGACAGAATTAGGATTGAATATATATGAATAAATTACTGTTTGCTAAATGAACACAACATTTGGAAACTTTAGATGGCTTACATACGCAAATACGACCTTACACGAGACGTTCTGCCAAAGCTTTGTACGATACATTACAAGTTTCGCGTGGATGCTATACGTTCAGTCGACGTGCTGCTACTATTTTTTTTCCATTTTGGCCGAAGATTCAGCCAAGGCTGCCCAACTAGCACGGGTAATTTAAGGGCGAGTATTGTGGCTATTACGGTTTTTTATTTATTCGTTTTGTCTGACGATACAACCAAGGCTAGCCAACCTTTAGTTTAACCTCAAGTTTAACCTTGAGGCTAAACTTGCTGCCTCTTTACACACAGACTTCAAATGAAGACCGTTAAAAACCGTTACCTGGCCCGATGTTAGAGATGAGGTTCCTCTCCAGGTAGAGCGAGGCGGTGCGGTTCCTGTGCGCGGGCGCGGGGACGGAGGTGAGCTCCTGCCGGTTACACGACACCTTCTCCCGCCCGTCTCCGTACGTGATGCAGGTGCACCGCAGCTGGAATGCGCAGCTGCGGACAGAGACACCTGACACCTGCCAGGACGTAAAGAAAACAAGCTCAGAGTGTTTCAGCCTACTTATGCTAGGTTCTGACTCCATTTACCTGTTTCAAATATATCTGTGGCGCAAATATTAACCTGTCACCTGCCAGGACGTAGCCAATACGAGTTTAATAGACTCCACATCAGCAGGGCCCTTTTCTCACTAGGGTATTTTTACCATACTGTATATCGTATAGTACAGAATTGTTTCGTTCACACAGGAGAGTTACACCTGGCTTGGTCCCTGTGTTTGCGTTCACACTCAAGCCGGTTCAAGCTGCAGTTTCACAAAACTGCTATGGCGGCTTCGATCAAAGCTAATCAATTCGACTCGATCCGGACAATTTTACCCTTGTGGGAATGGGGCCTAGGATAAAATTGTGGGCGCGGGGACGGAGGTGAGCTCCTGCCGGTTACAGGACACCTTCTCCCGCCCGTCTCCGTACGTGATGCAGGTGCACCGCAGCTGGAAAGCGCAGCTGCGGACAGACACACCAGACACCTGCCAGGAGCCAATACAGGTTTGAAAGACAGTTAGATATAACGTTACTCGGTTCTTTTTATAGATGCTTTTAGTGGCATAGAATACTGTTTTAAACTGTCTGCTAAGCTGCCCAAATTATATTATTGCAATGTCTTGTCTATTTGCGGAGAGGATATAGGACTCGGGAGATATAATAGGTCTGGTAACCATGCAGGCTATTGTCTTGTCTTGTCACCAGGCCTTTGTAAGAGCCACAGGCTAGTTGGGCTGCCCTGGCTGCATGTGTCGAACAGCCAAACCAATAACGTTAACTAGATAAGATAAAAGACCCTGTGCATTTGGATCATCGTGCTTTTTGCTTAGTTACTACTAGTATGTTTTCCAGTCTCTTGTATAACAAGAGTCGACAATGCGATGACCGTCAGTCTGTCATCTTCAGTACACAGCTTAATTGACAAACGATCATCGAAACGTCGGCTCTTGCTTAAAAAGGGGTTGTGAATAACGAACGTTTCTATTCAATCATTCGGCAACCTGCATGAAAGTATTCACGGATCAAACATGTTGATTCGGACTGTAAGTGACACTCACGGTTTGAGCAAGAAGAGACACCAGCAGAAGTCCTAGACAGGTTACTGGAATGTCTCGCACAGTCATGATGCCAGTTCCAGTCGGCTAACAATCTGAAAAACACAACATTACCATGTTCTTTTTCTACCTCCATGATAAGGGTTATCAAAATATAGAATTTCAACTGATTTCTTCAAAGAAAAATGGCGATGTTGCGGTGACTACATTTCATTGCCAGCTGCTGACCAATTTTGCATTCTGCATAAAAAATCGTTTGGGACAATCGCTGAAATCGTGTACAGTCTCTACCAGACTATGTACGCTTGCTAAGTATAGGAGAATATTTGCCAGCGGAGTTTGGCTGCCTTGGGGTTTGACTGGCCGCGCAGTTCGAAAGGAAGGAAACAACCTTTCGCGGTCGGACTCTCCAGGCCAATTTTACTCTCCTTTTTGCCGAATTCTACGATCCGTATAGAAAGGCCTGATGGAGGCTAGAAATCGTGACCGAGGACAAAAGCTGGGAATATTCTTTGACCGATAAAAAATGCGGGCGTAAGAAAAGGCCGGTGTCACACACCACGGGGCCAATACAGGACCGCACACTACGCCCTGCGGGGTGTGGCCGTCGCCATGGCAACGGTTCTGAATTCCCGGGAGCTGACCCATTCACTGTTGTAGCTGCCTAGCCTCTACCAGGCTTCGGGAGGCGGCTGGAAAGAGTACAAATCGGCAAAATATCTGTAACTGTATAACCGCCTTTAGGCGTAACACACCAGCTTCACAGGCACGCGGCGCAGCGGCAGCTGGCTACATTACACCGATCGACCTGCTACACCTAACCCTTGAACATCTAACTCTAGACAATGTTTAAAGCTATCTATTAAATGACAATGCCCCTACTGTACTTGGTGAAAATAGAGAGATAACATGCCAGTTGGTCCGGATAACATGCCGGGCGCGGCAAAATGTACTCTCTAGCGGACCAACTCCCCTGGCCTGTTACTAGTATCTCTCTCTCTATATGGCCGGTTTCTACTCTTTCCAGTCGCCTCCTGAAGCCTGGTAGAGGCTAGTAGCTGACGATTTTTAAGCAGATGTGTGGGGGTCTGACTAGTATTGTTTCTTTCCCTTTCGTTTTACCTCTCGCAAGCGGCGATTTTGTTTGGATTTCAGAAAATAACATAGCAAAGAAGTTAAAATACTAACATCTTTTTAACAGCGTGCTTATATCTGTATGGAGATTAATAGCGAGAAAATATAGCCATAACGAAAGCATGAACTATTCAAAGAGACATTTCAGTTTTTTTGCATGCAACACTTAATAATTTACTAAAACAAACGCACAACATGTATGTCACATGGTGCTAAAATTAGTACTGTAACAACATTAGGACAAGATGAGGGCAAGTACCCCCTTGGTATTATGTCCTTGTTCACTCATATCTTAAAATAGAAGATTTGCCTTTCAGCCAAGAGAACAATATATAAACTGCTCACCCAATATTGTAACAAAGCTTCACGAACTTGCTTCAGAATGACCGTGAGAATCTGCCATTTGCTGTGGATAGAAACATTTTTCAGAGGACTCAGCACAAGTCACATGTAAGGTTCCACTCCATAAGTCTTTAGTGTACGCATGTCAGAGGTTATACAGAGCCCGTTGCATCATGGGAGTTCTCAATGCAAATTTTAGATGTCGAGGCTCGGTCAAGAAGATGGAAACTAAATATAAATCTAAAAGGCTACTCTCCAAGCAAAGGTTTGTGTTTTGGCTTATTTTTGGTGTGTTTTTGGGCTTTTATTGTCGGGGTTTCTGCACCGGAATCTTTTTTTCGCAAGCGTGCAAAAAAGAAACCCCGATAAAAAAAGTCTAAAACACGCCAAAAATAAAACCTAAACCTCTGCTTGGAGAGTATCAAAAGGGAGAGTTGACAGGGGATTTGGTCCGCCGAGGGAGTACTAGTATATTTCTGGAGCTTCAGCTGACCAACTCCCCTGGCATGTTTTCTGTCTATTTTGCCGATTTCTACTCTTTCATGCCGCTTCTGAAGCCTGGTAGAGGCTACAATATATAGCATTTTGCTAGAATGAATAATAATGGTATGAAAATTTGCCGCTCTTTTATTACGTGTAACTGTGCCGTATTTACACGGTATGCTTTGTGAAGCGTAAACTACAAATGCGTGATAGAGGCGGGTTTTTGACAGTCTTTGGGGAGACAAAACAACATAATTGTGACAAGGGTATTCCCTGTGCACATGTTGCACGAATCAAAAGGCCCAAGGAGAATTATGAAGGCCGTACATATAGGTCATATATGGGATGGGGAGACAACCTATAGCTAGTTGACTGACTGACTGACCGACTGACCGACTGACTGACCGACTGACTGACTGACTGACTGACCGACTGACCGACTGACTGACTGACTGACTGACTGACCGACTGACCGACTGACCGACTGACTGACCGACTGACTGACTGACTGACGGAAAACACTGAGATCTTTGACTTCAAGTTGACTGACCGACTGACTGACCGACTGACCGACTGACCGACTGACTGACCGACTGACTGACTGACTGACTGACTGACTGACTGACTGACCAACTGACCGACTGACTGACCAACTGACTGACTGACTGACTGACCGACTGACCGACTGACTGACCGACTGACTGACTGACTGACCTACTGACCGACTAACCGACTGACTGACCGACTGACTGACTGACTGACGGAAAACACTGAGATCTTTGACTTCAAGTTGACTGACCGACTGACTGACCGACTGACTGACCGACTGACCGACTGACCGACTGACCGACTGACCGACCGACTGACCGACTGACCGACTGACTGACTGACCGACTGACCGACTGACCGACTGACTGACCGACTGACCGACTGACCGACTGACCGACTGACTGACTGACTGACCGACTGACCGACAGACCGACCGATCTGACCGACCGACTGACTCAACTCGGTCAACTCGGTCCACTACCCTGGTCAACTCAGTCAACTCGGTCAACTCGGTCCACTACCCTGGTCAACTCGGTCAACTCGGTCAACTCGATCAACTCGGTCAACTCGATCAACTCGGTCAACTCGGTCCACTACCCGACCTGACCGACCGACCGACCGACCGACCGACTGACCGACCTGACCGACCTGACCGACCTGACCGACCGACTGACCGACCTGACCGACCGACCGACCGACCGACCGACCGACTGACCAACCGACTTACTGACTG